AGAATTTTCTTAGACTTTAATAAGAAATGTCTAGACTGAGAAAGTAATGATTCATCTGAGGTTATTCAGTATCAGCTATGATCCATAATTGCCAAGTGTGTCTGCTAATATCAAGAATAAACATGAAAGGGATTTTATTAGTTTAGTGCACATTAAACTGAAATAACTTAAATATTTATTAAAACATGGAAAGACAGAGCCATAACATCCAGGTTTTAAAACATATCTTACTAGAGTGTTTTAGTTTTATGGATTGAATTATATATAGAGACAGAGACAGTGACAGGAAGAAGTAGAAGTAAAAATAGATATAAAAACAGAGATGGTGATCATGAAATTAGACTATTTCTGGAGAAAATATGAAGCACAGCTGCTAAAATTATTATAAATAACTATGATGAGAAGTATTCACATGCCCCTTAGTTTATTGCATTTTGGAAATTACCTAATTTTTAACAGCTTTATTGATATATAACTTAGATATCATATAACTTTACTTATGTTTAAAGTATACAATGCAGTGGATTCTAGCATACCACAGAGTTGCACAGCCATTATCTTATCTTTAGATCATTTTCATCACTCCATAAAGAAACATCAACTAAAGAAACTATTAACTATCATTCCCATTCCCTCCCCTACCCCTGCTTCCATCCCTAGGTAACTACTCTCTACTTTTTGTCCTTATATATTAGTTTATTCCTCACATTTTATATAAACAGAATTATACAATATGTGATCATTTGTGACCAACTTCTTTTACTTATCAAACCATTTTTTTGAGATTCATTGATGTAGCATATAGCAGTACTTCATTTCTTTTTATTATAGAATAATATCCCATTATATAGCTGTACCACATCTTGTTTTTCCATCCAATACTTTCTGACTATTGGGTTGTTTCCACTTTTATGGTTATTATGAATAATGCTACTATGCACATTTGTGCACATGTTTCTGGGTGAACATGTGCTTTCATTTCTCTTGGGTAGAAGTGTAGGAGTGGAACTGCTGAGTCAAATGGTAACCCTATGCTTAACCTTTTGAGGAATTGCTAAGTTGTTTTCCAGAGCAACTGTAACTTTTACAACCTCACCAGCAATGTTTGTTAAACCAAGTTTCTTACATCTTCACTAACAATTGTTATTGTCTCTCTTTTTTGTTATAGCCATTCAGTGAGTACAAAATGGTATCTTGCAGTTTTGATTTACATTTCCCTAATGACTAATAATGTTCGAACATCTTTTCATGTGATTATTTGACATCCCTATACTTTCTTTGGAGAACTTCCTGTTTAAATCTTTTGCCCATTTTTTAATTAGGTTGCTTGTCTTACTGAAGTATAAAAGTTCCTTATATACTCTAGATTTAAGTACTTTATAAGATACATGGTTTACAAATATTTTCTTCTATTCTGTGGATTGTCTTTTCACTTTCTTGATGGTGTCCTTTAAGGCAAAAAAGGTCACAAAGAGCTACTCCTGTTTTCTTCTAATAGATTTTGAATTTTAAGCCTTACATTAAGTCTATAATCTATGTTGAGTTCATTTTTGTGTATGATGTTAGATAAGAATCCAAATCTATTCTCATGCTTATGGATATCCAATTGCCCCAACATCATTTGTTGAAAAGAATATTCTATTAAATTAAGTTGGTCCCTTGGTCAAAAATCAGTTGACAAAGAGTGTTCAGATTAATTTCTTGATTCTTAATTCTATTCCATTGATACATATGTTTATCCTTGTGCCAGTATCACATAATCTTGATTACTGTACCTCTGTAGAATTTGAAGTTGGGAAATCTGAGTTGTTCAATATTGTTTTAGCCTGATCCCCTTGCATTTCTGTCTTAGGATCAGCTTGTCAATTTCTCCCAAAAAACTAGCTGGAATTTTATCAGGAATGATATTAAATCTATGGTACTAAATCTAATACTTTTCATTATATATAAGTTATCATGATTAATTGTGCAAAAAATGGCTACCTACTTACTGCAAATTGGATGAAAAGTTAAGTGTGGTTGCATTTTATAAGCAGTCAGTACAATAAAAAACACGATAGGTAGAAAGCAGTCAATTGTGAAACACAAAAGCAAAAGAAAGGAATAATCTGGAATTTCTTTCAATGTATTTCTCTGCAGGCAAAAGACTCAGGCACAAAAACATTAAAGATACTTTAAGCAGTATTGGCTGCAAAATATGGAAATAAAACTTAAAAAATTAAATTCATAAGTGTTCTGTTTGCTGTCTACAAAATGTAATTCTGTATCAGCTAGCCAACTGAAGCTTAACTATCAGCATGGTTATATATCAACATAACACTTAACTCATAAAAACATGTTTCTTTATAACAAATAAAAATTACAAAACAAAATCACAAATTACAAAAAAATTCAAAAAATTTTATTTGATAAAAAAATTGATAGTGTTTTGATCATTTTAATTTTAATATATCAAAAATTGCTTGAGGTAAAACCTGAGAAAGTCAGGTTATTAAAGGTCTTTAAAAAGCCCTGTAATCAACTGTAAAAGAATCACATAAATTCTTGTCTCTGCAGAATGAAATAAAGTATTTTATATGCTTCTTTGCAATGTATACAAAACACATGATACCTCTGTTGTGGCCTGTTGCTCTACAATATAGAAGTCAAGCAATATTAGATCATTATGCAATAGTCTAGGAAAAACTACTTCTCCCTTTGACCTAGTTTCAAAAGCATTTCTCTCGGCTTTGAAGATGAATAAATATGCTTGTTAAAGTACTGGATCAGACCATCCACTCTTACTAATAGATTCTACTAATTATCATGTGGCCTCTGTTAAAGTAATTATAAAATTGTACTTGGAAAAAATTATTTATTGTATAAGCCTTAATTTCTCTTTTATTTACTAAATGATCATATATTGTTTGCTTGGAGGATCTCTAGTCATGTTTAGCCTTTGATTATCCCATTTAATAGAAGCAAAAAGATATCTTTAAAGATATTCCCACCCTAAACAAGTATCAAAAATTGAGAAACGTGAAAATAACTTCCCTTGTAACCCTCTTAGTTATTCCATAAATGTTTAAATACTGGAACTTAATGCTTAAATACATTTTGAATCTTCAATGAAGACATCTCTACAAAATGGTAATGATTATCCATTATATTTCTCAAACACTAGTATGTTTTTATATAAGTAAATTTTGGCCCAGCAACAGCTAAATGAAAAATGTTAGCCATAATCCTTAGTCCTATTAAGACAGAAAATATTGGTAAAGAGATTGTGATTATTTCCTTTTCAAACTGGTTGGTATTTCCTAGCTCCAGATGCACTAGAAATTTGAAGCTAATTGGGGAAAATGAGTAATTTCATGTTCTTTGTTGAATAAATGGCTCTGTAGTTCTCCCTTTAGTACTTGAACTACACCATCAGTTGATGTGCTCACTGAATATTAAAAATTTTTAAGATAAGAATGCATTTGCAAATGCAGCATACCCCTATTGCTATTTTATGATGAATATAATTTACTAGTTATCTATAAGGTTGTGCCTAAAGAAACTGGCAGGTTGCTTATCCTTTTGGTAGTTTAATAATGATAATTTTATTAAATTGAGTTTCGGACACAGGCAGTCAATACTAAACTACTACTACAAATATCCAAGTGTTTGAAAACCTATCAGAATATTTACAACTAAAAATTAGACTACCTAAATACTCCATGAACTATTACAGTTACTTTCTTATGAAAGAGAGTAAATAAAAATGTATCTAAATCTATCTTTTTTGGTATATTGTAGAACTAACCATGTGCTACAAAATAGTTTACTAAGAGGAATATTTTTTGTTAAAACCAAGAAAAAATTTATTTATAGCTTTAACAAGCAGTGACGATTTCTACTGGCATCTTTCAACCTGTTGCCTTCCCACCACTGTTAACCTGTCTTTGCGAGTCTTTCACAGCTCCATGAGGAAAGGGTTTATGGATAACACCGAAGTTTTAGAGAATTTATATAAGTTGATTGTGGTCACACTGCAAACAGTGACAGAACCTTGATTCAAGTTCAACTAGATCTAAATTACACGGGTCCTTTTGCATGATACCATTATACAATACTTTTCTGCAAAGCCAATAACAATTACGGCTTTTATCACTGCCACCAAGACTTTGAACTTGTCTCCTCATTCCTTCAAGTACACATCCAAACCTTCATGTCAAAGAAGTATGCATGTTAGGGCAAGGAAGAACTGGGGGTCCCAGACTTTAAGGTGACTTCAAATCTGGATATAAAACAAGCTATGAACAAGGAAGCCTGCTCGGCAAAACTTCTGGGAACAGTAAATGTCAGAGTAAAAGGGAGAGGGAGAGGCAGCGTGTGACCCAGAGGTTCTCAAATGTACCAGCTCTGTGCTGCTTCTGAGTCTTACAGTTCTAAAGGAACCCAACTACAGCAAAGCATTTGTGAACAATACAGGTGTTACTGAGGATTTTGTACAGAAGACAGAGGGAGAGATTTAAGCTGCATATCCCTTCCAAAACCTTTAAAGGCTTCCATTAGATATTTTCTGTTCCAAATCACTACCAAGATTTCTCTTCTTCTTTCACCTCATGCTGCCCAAAACATGCTGACATTTTTCTCTTCCTTCCCCAGTTTTCTCAGGATCTTCAACTACCTCTCCCCTTTAGAATGCTAAAATGTCAGTTCTGCCTCAGAGACTACCCTTAAATTGCACCCCAATCCCCATGACACTCGGAAAAATGAACATCTTCTAATTTATAATGCCCACCCTCCCTAGGAGGCAATGAGAAATTTTAGAATTTTTAAAATAAGCTTCGTTATCCAGATTCCCTGTCTTTGAAAATAATGTGGGTTGATGCTCTTCTCTATATCTACTATCACTGTCTCCATGTTACTTCTTCCTGTCATCATCCCAATGTGACTCTTACCCTCACTGACTTCAAATCTTGACGCTCAGGTCTTACTGTGACAAAAAAATCAGAATGAACCCTGCTTCCAAAGAATTTATTAATAACAGTCAGGACAGCTCTATTTATTTGCCATTTCCTATACAGCCGGCAGTGTAGTAAATACTTCACAACAGGTGCATTTAAACCTCCCACAAGTCTACGAAGGGGATATTACTTTTCACATCTGCCCCCGTGGCCTTTCCCTTGTCATGAAAAACCTTCACCTTGGTGCCTCACACTTGGATGGGAAGGAGGTGTACTCACTAAGCAGCAGCCAGCAACAGCAGGGCCAGGCGGGTAACAATGATGCAGTACTGACCTTGATCTCACATCTGCATGGTTTAATGAGACAAAGAAACTATGCCATTATTTAAATTTAATTCGCTGAAATTATGTAGTGCTTAACAACTTCTCAAATGGTGTTACCTACATAATCTTCCCTAATCTTCATAGCAACCCTGGAGCAAGTATTGTTATGACCCCATTTTTATAGACTAGGAAAGGAGTCTCATAGATATTGAGAAACCTGCAAAAAAAACCCTCCTGTTAGCAAATGACAGAAGCAATAGCTGCCTTCATCATCTCCCTCCAGACCTTATGCACTTTGAACAATATCATGGCCACACACACACACACACACACACACACAGTGGTATGTGTGTGTATGTGCTGGTGTGTCTTGGGGAAAAGGCAATGGGCTTACAAGGCTGAATTATTTAGTACAGAGACTAACAACAGCTCAACTAACAACTCGCTCTTCTAAAGTAAAAAGTTCAAGGACAGTGAATTGATTAAGAAGTTTAGAATCATAAAATTAAAAATCTACTTTAATTTCATCATTTAAAGCTCATGTTTTTCATCTGTTACCTAGAGGTAGTTATGGAATTTTGTGTTATTTCAAAAGATACGATTTTATTTTGATTTGCATCTGGGTGGGTAATGGGGGTGAGGGTACCACAGTCTTTTCAGAGCTGAGGGCTTCTAAAATTTTGAACCCAGAGCTGATAATAGAGGATTCTCCTTTGAGTTAAGTGACAAAGGAGAAAAATAGGATGGTAGTTAGAAGTGAAAATGTAAGTAAAGAACAAGCAGAATGGATATGAAAACTGAAATCAAGGCCACATAACCTATACAACATATATTACCAAGTAAATATGAACTGCAAAGCATGTTCTGAGAACTTCTGAGAAGTGAGATAATGACAACCATAACAATAGTTACCACTTCATTAACACATACAATTTGCCAAAAACATCTCATTTAGTCCTCACACCACGAGGTATTTATTAGCATCTGCATTTGGTAGATAAGAAACTTAGACTTGGAGGAGTTGTGCAAGAACCCAGTGGCCCAGTTTGTGAATGGCTTTGACCACAGGTCCCACAATGTGGCCACCAGGAGCATTTTCTCAGGCAGAAAAAGAAGGTGGAGAGTGGGAAGAATAAAACAGAACTGCTCAACCACATGAATTTACAAAACAGGGAAATTAAGAATAATCTCCTCCTAAGAAGTTGAAAATATTGCAGTGATTTATGGCAGCCCATGTACTAAAATTTGAGGAAGTTCTGTAGCAATGGGGGCTTAATAAGAAGAATAAAATTGACTCTACAAAGCAGAGAAAATGTGTAATTGAACAAACGTGTTTAAGCTGGCTCTTCCTGTGGAGCCCCTGTGTGATGGGGAGGGCGAGACAGTAGGGAAAGGGGAGAGGAGTGAAGGGAAGGGAGGGAAGAAGTGTCTGAAAAAGAAACCAAAGAGATTCATTCTAACAGGAATGCAAGGAATTCTCACTGAGACCCATGAAAAGAGAACAGGAAAAAGCTTAGATATCATGAAAATCTAAAACATTTGGGCAAGTATTGGAGCTAATTACTTGACATAAGTTTCGAAAATTGATTCCCTAGCTAATCTCTTCTTAGAAAGAACAGAAGACCATTAAGTGATTTGATCACAATCACTACAAGAGAGGTTTGTATAAAATCCCCTGTCCCTCAGAGCCTCACCTGAACTCTTGCTACTCACATCACCATTTTTAATTTCACAGTATGGAAGCCAAGAACTGTGCAATCATGAATAAATAGCAAATAGGCTGTGGTGATTTAGTTTTCCCTTACTCAGGTGTTCTGTGGGGTGTATACAGTAGGAGTTACATCATGCATGGCCAAATGCATTTAGCTCATCAGCTGATGAAGACACCCCTTCCAAGAAAGCTCCCATCCCTGATATGCTCAACTCTATTGCCCAACTCTGAGACACAATGAAAGATTCATGAGGGCACAGACAGCACAGAGGGGTAAAATGTGAAATACTCAGGAGAAGATGAAATTATTTTAATTCATTGCTCAATCACAATGTGTTTTATATAATACAATGTGGCAAGATGCATACATGATCAAAACCATATCTTCATAAACTATGGAACCTCATATTTTAGTTATCATCTCTACAGATATGCAGAAGAATATCTCACCTAGGCAGACTGCTGATGAGAAGCCAAAAATAGCATGCCTCTGAATAGCTAGCACACATTTACTCCCAAACTTACCTAAAACTTCCACATTTTATTTAGTGAAAAGTTTATTGGACTCTCATTCAGAACTATTATACATACAATTCTAAGAAATTTAGTGTAGCATAGGATTAATCTAAATCAAAATCAGAGGCACTCCCGTGTATTAGTAGGGAAGGGATTTCACCTTTCAAAGCTTCCATTTGCTCACCTGTAAAATGGGGTGTATTTCATAGCCTAAGTATATAGATATAATCAGCACATTCACATAAAGCATAAACACAAAGCAAGTCTAAATACAGATATTTTTTGATAGAACCTGGTACCACATTATGAACCAGCTACCTAATGTGAGCCTCAATCATATAAACAGCAATTCTTTCCAATGTCGAAGAAAAATGGGCTATTCTGGAATTCTTAAGAGATTGATTATACATTGATCTCCACAGTGGAAATTCCCAGGGGATTTTCAAGGGTAATTTTTATTTATGTGATTGTTTTTGTTGCTAGCATATCTCCCTAAGAATTCAAAATGCGTAACATCTGAACCCTACGATCACCCTACAATCAATCACAGGGCAAACAGTTCTTCCTAACCTCATTCCACTGCATTACAGCGGAGTCCAGTAACCAATGTTCATCAACAAAGGGTTAAATGTATGCTCTCTAATTCTCTGACAAAGTAAACAGGAATGTTTAGAAAGATCACCATTTAAAAAACTAGAATACTTAAACCATATGTTATTTTTTTGTTTTTTTGTTTTTTTTCAGAAAACTTACAGGTATAAACACTTCACCAGTCAAGAAAACCCATTCACTTAAAACAGAGCTAATTAAAAGACCAAGGATGGTTTAATATCTTCTCTTCAGTACTTGGACTCCAAAGTAAGTTTTTCAGGTGGAAAGAGTGAGTGACATAAACATTTTCCCTTTCATGATGCTTGTTTACTGTACCAAGTTGCTTATCTTTACTTGTTGATTTTAGAAGTTCCTTACTAAGCTCCTTAAGGATATTGAGGATATCAGCCTTTGCTTCTGAATTGTAAATAAGTTCCCACAGTTTACCTTTTGTTTTATGGTTACCTTTTTCTCAGAGATCTTAATCAAATGAGACATTTTTCTTTCATGATCCCTGTGAAGAAAGCCTTTTTCCCATCCAAGATCATTAACATAACCGCTTACACTTTCTCCTATTTCCTCTGTGGCTTCTGGTTTCACATTTAAGTCATTAATCCAATTGTCGCTTATGTTTGTTCATTATTCAAGGTAAACAAAGTTCTAATAAAACATCTTTTCTGAAATATAATTCTTAGCCTTCTAATCCACATAGATAAAAGCATATTTTCCACTGTACCTAAGCAAAATAAATGTAAGAGATTATCCTTGTTCTTCTAAATTACCAAATTTCATATGTTAAAATAAGTAAACAAAGTCACATGAGCTGATAAAGTGAAGCAATGATTCAAAGCAGTTTGTTCTGCCTTCAAAATGTATATTCTTTCTGCAAAGACACAGAAGGCTAAGCACATGTCTATGGGATACATGATTATAACATTTAGTCATTATTGTTATTTCTTTCCAAATGCTAAGTAGCCCATTTAATACTTTGGATAACAGCTATTATTATCATTATGTGGTATCTAAGTATAGAAACTGAGGGAAAATGGTAATATAAATGGACCTCTATTCCTCAGTAAGATGAGGGCAAGGAAATGTATTATCCTCTTTTTTTCTAATTGTGCTTTCTGAATTTCTAGACTGGAATTTAGTAAAGAGGGAACATGATAATCCATAAATGTTCTAGACAGTTTTGTACTTCTAGGTAGAGCTTGCAGTCCACCCATCCAGAATGACTGAGGACCCAGACATGAACTTCTTGGTGAAATAAAATCAGAGATTAAGTCAATTCTGTTTTCTGCTTCCATGTAGAGCCCAACAGAAATATTTATGTTAATGTTATGCAGTTATGCACACAAATTATCCTATTATTACCATATCCATACAAAAAGCTTATAGGATATTGCATGAAAAGCATCACTTCATACATTATTACAATTTATTTCCACTATCACCACTTAAAAGGAAAGGAGAGGCATTATTTCCCCTATTTTAACAGGTGACAAAAGTTACACTACTTACCCAGATCTCAAAGCCAGGAACAACTGAACGAATGAGTAGGGGCTACACCTCAGCTCCTGGGATTCCTAATTCAGTTATTCCCGCCATTCTGTACTCCTTTTTAACAAAGAAAAGAAGTAAAAAACTCAGATTTAATTTTTAAAAATACAATGAAAGTCTAATGAAATAGAGTTTTAAAATGATTTATTAACATCTGCTGTTAGACCCACCCTGTTATAAAAAGAGATGTTGTAATCTCTGTCCCTGGAGCTATTTGAGAATAGGACAGGTATCTGTCCTTGAAGACTGAAAAAAATAACAGATAGGCCAGAAAGTCTCCTGGCTTCCATTCTAAGCCAGTAATTAATATTCATAAAGGATTTACAACCCCTTGGAAGAAGTTCAAATCCTGAAACATTGATATACCTACTATGTACTCTGAAGGGTACTAAGCAAACACAGTCCTAAGTGAGATGCCTATAAGAGCTAATATTTACTGCGGTGGTCTCTGAGAGTATGGCATTAAGGGAATTCTTTGGATTTAATCTATTTATAAATTCTTATGTACTCAGTATGCATTTGTTTTGGAAAAGGGAATAAGTACATACGGAAAAGGACACAGTATAGAGTGCTGTTTTATTTTCTACTAAAATAGGCTTCTCAGGATGCATACCATTGAAAATGCTATCCTGCCATGCTGAAAGACAGGGGAAGCCCACATTGATGGAGCAATTACTGCGGTTAGGCATTTTCTTAGATGGTTAGAACCATTAATCTTTTTTTACTTTCACCACAACTTCTCAGAGAAAAAATTATCCTCAGTTTATAGATTTGGAAACTGACTCTTAGGTTATTTGACTTGCCTTTGGTCAGACAACAAGATTTCAAACCCTAGGTACAATACTCTTTTCACATGGTCATGATACATTTCTTTTTAATCCTACAGACAACAGACTTGTCCCTTGCTGAGAGTACCAATCTGATTTAATGACTAAAATAGAAAATCATGTGAAGTCCCTAAATGTCCTATATTTATTTGTAGTTCCCTAGTATACCAAGGATCAGTTCCTATTGGATTACTCCTATCCCAAGAATCCACTGTACTAAAACCATCACATCCAATCAATTGGTTTGCTTGTTGACCAAGTTTTCCCATTGGATTAAATGGAAAAAATGATCAACCCCTTGTTTTAAACTAGCATAGTTCAAACAATTTCCCTGAGTGTTCCATTATTGGTATTGACTACATACCTAACACCACCCTGAAATTGTAATTTGCACATTCCAGATTAGACACAAAACAGGAACAGAAATAATTCAAGTTGAATACAGAGAATCTCAAAGAGAAAAACTCTAGAATTATAAATTAAAAGGAAAGGGTTTAAAAAGTCAGCATTTGGCAGGAAATTAATATTGATCATCAAGATGCTAAAGATTCCAGTATCTGTAGATAGAATAATGTTTACAAAAAAAAATTGGTGAACAGATATTTACTGGGAACAAAATTACTTCTAGCCATCAGGAAAATGTCTGTTCTTATAAGGTTTTAGTGACTGGCATTAAGGACAAAAAGACTTCTTCGGGTGTCAGTGTGGTCATGTTTCCTGATCTCAGAATTTACATAATGATGCTCAGTTTATGTATTTTTTCCTTGTGTGTAACAGCTCAATAAACGTTCCTAAGAAATGACTTCTAACAGTGGAGACTAAAAACACCTTGAAGTATTTTTAAATGATGGTTTTCGTATCTTTGCATTATAACTGTTTTAAAAATTTCTAAAAAAGAGTCATAAAGAACTTAGGTATAGTGGATATCTATTCTTTTGCCAAAGAAAACACAAAATTTCTTAAAATAATTTTATTAAAGGAAAAAAGAAGACAAATCCCTCTTAGCCCTCATACTCCATACATATTTGCATGCACACACACTATGCTCCTAACCATCTCAACCATCCCTGAAAATAAGTCTTTGCCCTATACAGTCACCACGGCAGGACTCAAATACTTACATTTCTAGGGCTTAACTATAGGATAATTTTCATTAACATCATAGCTGACAAGGCAAAAATGGGGTGGAGGGCTGTTGCTGACCCATGAAATCCTTATTTTTAAAACTGACTACTTTAACCCCCAATTTATGTAAACCCTATTAAGAAATAATTTGAAAATAGCACACTTAACTGCCATAGAAAGTAGTAGTTCTCAAACTTGTGAGTTCATAAGGTTCAGCTGGAGCCCTTGTTGAAAACTGAGACCCCGATTCAGTAGATCTGTAGGAACAGCCCCAGGAACCTTTGCTTACCATAAATATGTCACGTAATTCTGAAGCAATTTTCACCACACCTTGAGAAACACTTGCTACTATTAGAACTTCAAATATTAACAAGTTCCAGCCAAGCTCTGCCTGGGATTCAAAGAGATCACAATCCAAGCAGTGAATAACAAATGGCTTTCACCCTGGAAATCTAACAATCAGTGATTTAGTACCACACTAGAGTAAAGCAAAGGGAAAAGGCCTAACAGGACAGGTGACTTCACCATGTTCTCTTCGTGAGTGAGATTTTACAAGATGTATCCTGGCTGAATTTCATACATTTGTAAACTTATTCCAGTACTTTTGCAGGCCTTCATCCTATGAGACACAATGGCTTATGTGAGGAGAAATGGAACATGCAGTAAACTTTTATGACATCCTGACCCTTTGTGGCTAAGACTTAACAGAGACTTTGGCCAGCTAGCAGGCAAACCCTCCACTCTGAGGCAAGCCCCATCAACGGAAGTCATAACTCAACCTGTCATAAGTGTACCAACATTACATCTGGACTGTCATGGGCTGTCAATCACAGTGTGACATTAATTTTTCTGAAATCCAGAACCTCATCATGCCAGAAGAATCAGCCACCTTGTTTACCCTTTTTCTTAGGCAATCTTTCTCTGTATTATCATTTTGATCATTCATGTGCTTGGGTTGACAGGAGCCAAAGAAAATTAAAATGCAACCCAGAAACAACAGAAATATGTCATCCTGGAATGGACATGTGGTCTGTCCAACGTAGGTACCTGCTTCTCATGATGAGTAATGCCAGATGTTTCAGAAAAAGATACAAGCCTCTATTACACATCTGCTTTATGCAATTGTGCAATGATATATCACAAGGGAGTTTTCTTTTCCTACCCCTGGATTAGCCATCAGTTGCAGTCTAATATTTTAAGACATCAGCCCTTGAACTCATTACTTTCATTGTGTCCTTTACCACACTCTTTCTTTTAAAAAAATCATAAAGAAAATGATTTTTATCCATTGTGTTCCCTCATAACTCTGGACCAAAGCAATTATACTTGTAGACAACCTTTTCTGGTTTCCATTAAGGATGGCTGGATGTTCGACATAGGGCAACTGTTGATGGTTATAGTGGATAAGTGAAAACTAGCTCACATTTGCAAATAGCTTGAAAATGAAAATACCTATACTGGTAATGCTGAAAGTTGGCATTAGGAAAGCCTTCCAGAATCTGTATAGCTAACTAAACACAACTAAGATAAATCTACAAATAACTACTAACAATTTCAAGAATTACGAACACTAGGAATTTCTCTTTAACTATATACTCCTGAAAAAAATTCAAGAAGAAACCTAACTATAGTAATGTTTATCCATTGTTAACAGATATTTATAGAGTACTTTCTCTGTGCCAGTCACCATGGCAAGTACTAGGAAAATAGCCATGGGTTTTGCTCGTATATAGTCCAAGAGGGGAAATGAACAATTTTTAGGGAAATAGAGAATATAATGGCAAACTGAGATATATGTTCTGAAGGAAACCAGCATGGTTATGATGGAGAAACACCGGAGGAACCTACTTAGAGCAGTCAGGCAAATTTTTCCCAAGAGGTGACATTTAAACTAGGGTGAAAGGTCAAGGAAAGTAAGATCATGCCAAGAGCAGGAGGGAAGTGTCCTGGGTAAAGGGAAGAGTGAGGCCAGTCTTATGGATCGAACCACACTTGGTGTGCTTTGGCAACTGAAAGTACTATCAGTGCGCCTGCGAGTAGGCAAGAATCCAATCTTGGAGGACTTTGTAGGTTATGATAAGGAGTCTGGGCTTTATTATAAGTGAGATGGGAAGACATTAAAGGACTTAAGCTCAAGAAATAGTAAGAATGTATATACATTTCTACAAGATCACACTGGATACAAAGGCAAGAAGGCAAAGAGTGTGGGAGGTCTTTTAGAATAGGGGTTCTACACTGGTATAATGTTCATATAGACATGAACATCTGGGGACCTTGTTAAAAGGCAGATTCTGATTCTCCAAGTCCAGAGTATGGCATGAGATTCTGCATTTCTAACAAGCTCCCAGGTGAGGCAGATGCCAATGGTCCATGGACCACATTCTGAATACCAAGGTATGTAAATACTTCTACAGTGGTCCAAGCTTTGGTCTCTTTCAAGATAGCGGCTTGGGCTAGGGTAGAAAACGTGGTAATGGAGAAAATTTGACAGATTCAAGATACAGTTGGCAGTTAGAGCTAATAGATTCTCGATATATCGCATGCCTCTTAACATTACAGCACTGTGTGCAGTGAGACCTCTGAAACAAACATTTCTCAAAGTTAAAGGGGATTCTGAAGTTCTTGTCTCAACACTGGGCATGGATGGAGAGAGCAGTTAAGGAATTAAAGGCAGAAGTAGGAATTCTCCAGAGTAGGCCAGCATTTAGCTTTGGGCCTGGGGAGAGGGTTGAAGGCAGTGGTGGGTGGGATAGAGATGTTGCCTGGGGCTCAGTCTGTGGTCTGTTTGCCCGAGAGTCAGGGAGTTATCAGCAGTGTGTCAGTGAAAGTAGAAGACCACAGAGACCCAGAAAAGAACCTTGAACTTCACAGTCAGAGCCTCAAGTCTTAGTTCTGGCACGTTAGCTCTGTGTCTCTGAAAAAGGAATTACTATCTTCATATATCCGTTTCCTCATTTAATAAAATATGATGTGATGAGATCACGCACATGAAAACATTTAGGATGGTACCTATCACAAGAAGGTATGAATATTCATGAATATCAATCAAATTACACTTATGAGTCTTCATGGGGAACCATTTTCTGCTTCTTTTGAAGATATAAA